GAAACCACCTGTACTATAAACTGTTACACACATTTGTTAGTAGTGGCAATTACAACAACATTCACGGACATACGTTGAAATAAACTTGTTTGAAAGTTCAAAGAAATGATATTCAAGTACCAAAAAGCTTTCTTACTATCATATCTACAGTAACGTTCAAATGCACATGCGCTCGGTTGAACGAGAGTGACCACCAAAAAGGGTGAGATAGTTTACGGACAACGTACAAAGTTCACGCTGCTGACCCCACGGCTTATTCGGCACAATAAACACAAAAGTACGACTGCAATGAAACATAAACATAAAATCCTAGTTAAAAATAAAAATACTCATTTATTGTTTAGGTTTATTTCCAAATATTATTTATGGGTCTGCATATTACTTGAAACCATAAGAAGTATACGTGATTACTAAAAAAATTAAAAATAGATAAAATTTGCATTTTATGAAGGATACAATTTTTTGGGGATTTCAAAATAATGTACTAAAACATTAAAAGTAATAAGTTCAAATCTGTAGCAAATATAAATAAGTTTAATCATTTCTTATAAATACGATTTCCTAATGTAATTTTCCAAGATATTAAAGATCATAATGCAAAAAAACTAAATTTATTAAAAGTAATAGGCTTTATGTTTCTTAAACTACCTATATTTGTCAAAGTATTTATGAATTTTCGAAAATATTCGTCCACTAGTTTTATTGTTGGAATGAAATATAGCAAGACTTGCATTGCCTACTAAGAAAGTTAGAAGCCGGTAGTCATCGGGTTAATACAACTAGAAAAACCAGCAGTTTCCTGTTATCAGCTACTAGTAGGACTGTTTACTTTCAACTGCTGCATCTTGCAATAATTAAGATATACTGATACACATCTTAACCTTATGTACATGGGTAGGGTTAAAGTGCACATGTCATGAACTTTTATAGAGTTACATTTCATAATTTAATAAATCAACTTTATTATCAATGTATGTCAATAAACTTGGCATGAAAACATCGTTTGTAATTCAAATGTTAATATCATATTACTTTTAATTTCTTAAATCAAAAGGAAATACAGTAGGTCCCCATTATATGTTGCATTGCTCTGTGTTGTTTCATTGTTAGAGCATTCACCAATTACTACCCATGTATCAAACAACATTGCCTTGTTTTGTTAATAGAGTGATCCAACGTCGGCGACTACTTTTCCTGGTGTTGTATTTACTAATTACTACCAATATTTTGTATAGTACGCTGTATTTAAAAAAAAACGTGTTACACCCTTTAAAAAAGTTCTTCAAAAATGGTTCGAAATTTTTCAGGAATGTATCTCCCATAATACATCTGAAGATTGTGTTGCTTAACATCATTTCAGATATATGTTCCACTTTCCAGGTATAACGGGACCCATCTGTATTTCAATTCTCATTCTTTACATATCTGTATCATGTTACACTTTTTTAACTCTGAATTACTCATTTAAGATTACATTTCTAGCCTATATGAAGCTCTAAGTTTCCTGAAAAGTGTTCATAATTGTACTATAGATATCCCCGAGCTCAAATGTGAACTTGTAGCCTCCGGTCATCCTGTTTAATGAGATATATGCAGTAGAATGAAACCCATTACCGGGCTCATTTTAGCACATCCTGTTTTCAAAAATTGGTAATAATTCTCTCTGACATTGTTTATTGAATTATTTATTACCAGGGTTAACTTTCATCAAGTCTTTGATACTTTGACATATGTACTGAAATTCTTGTTATTGTTTTTTATTTTTTCTTGTTACAAACGTAACTAAAATTTGAAAATTAGAAATTTATTAGGTTGGTAAGAAAATGTAATTAAAAAATTAACTCTCTGTGAGGTGTGCACAGAAGCTGCTTATACATTATGTAATTTGATTCTTTGTTTACTGTAACTTGAGCTATATCTTGCTGGGTGATTGTTGTTTTGTTACACTAGCTTGGTAATTAGACACAGTTCAAAGAGCAATAAAACAATAAAATTAATTGAAAACAGATGTGAAACTGTTAGGAGACTGAGGCTGTTTAGGATAAATAATTGTAATTGTCTGTTATAATCTGCACTAATTCTAGAAAGAAAAATGTGCTCTTGATTTCATATTACTTTTGCTACAGTTAGTGTTAGAGAAAATAAGAAATATATAGTATAAAGTATTATCGAAAAACCTTTGATATTCATGTAGGAGGTCTTAGTGTTTATGTAAGTAAAATATGAAAATTGGAAGGTGAAGAAAAGTACTTTTATTTTTAACATGAAAATCACCTTGCACTCAGACTAGTCATAGTCTGAGTCAGACTGACTTCATAAATTCACATACAATTCTTTAGTAAAAATACTTTGTTAAAAAACCTGCTTTTTTGTGTATGACAGGCATTTCATGTTTGTTAAAAGCTTGGCAAAATCATGAAGATTCATACAGTAAATTCTGAATTATACTAAAACTTTAATTTGTTGATATGGAGTCAATCCAGTGGATCAATCCCATGCATGTAGGATTAATTGTCATGTTAAATTTTTCAGTGAATTTGTTCTCTCATAGATTACTACCAACACAGATGAGATTCCATGTATGGCTGGAATATTCCTTACTTTAGCAGGTGTTATTACAATTATAAACTTTAAATATAATTTTCTGTTACTGTTTATTTATATTTTGCTCATTTTAAAAAACTGTGGGAAAGTTAGACATTATATTCACCTACTAATTTAACACATTTTTCTTGGCAAATTTACTTAGTTGAAGAATGTTCCATCTTTTGATCTTGCAAGTCGTGTTTCATTGTTAAATTTTATGCAAAAACATTGGTCACTGAAATGTAGATGATTTGAGTAAGGCCTGGTGCTTTCAATAGTTTTTAAGTGTTGTGTACTTTTAAACATTGTTTAAACTGAAATTTTTAATGAACATTTTTTGTTGCCTACACACCTCAATGATTTAAGGATATTCACAACTAATCATACATAATTATAATTGAAAGAACATAACTAAACTGTTACTCAAATGTTTTGGCTTACGTTATACCCTATTTCATAATAAAAATACTATTTAAAATTAATTTGGCAAGACAAGTAGGTTGTCGTTGTGTTTAATCTTTTACAGGACCAGATGTGGACTGGTGGTTAATGTTCTGGACTGTAGATTTGAGGTTCTGTGGTTAAGATCCTGTTGTTGCAAAACAAAATTTGCTCACATTTTAAAAGTAAAGTCAAAGTGTAACATCATTGTTGCTATAGTGATCTCCCATTATATATATATATTACACTCTTTCAGTTTATACTAGTAATACAAAATATATTTCAGACTTTCAAGACTTGTTCCCAGGGCACGAGTTTCCTCATGATAATCTGACTGTCTTAACAATATGTCAACGAACCAAGAATGATATGACTATTTGGAGTGAAGATGTAGAGTTAGAACAAGAGGAACTAAAACAATATGTAAAGTCATTATTACTTTACCTTTTTAACATCTAACTTTTTTTACTATTTTGTAGTAAATATTACAACCTACATCTTTCCATTTTTTTAAGTAGTGAAATTTTGTTACTTACAAAAGAAATGAGATATTTGTCAAATGAAGATCAGTTATTTTCTTATAAGATGTATTGTAGAATAGTCTCTGTTGAAAACAATTTGTAGGCTTTCTCCCACTAATTCTAACACATCATTCCTTACTCTCAAAACTTAATTGTGGTCTTGTAATTCTACCAATACTGTCTATTCATTTTTTTGCTTCTACCTCTACAAATCCTTTCATAATCTTTATTTTAGGCTGTTAATGATCTTAAACTTTCCCAAATATGCACTTGCATGCTTTAAAATGTATACTATGGTTTTTGCATTGAAATGCTTGTTCTGATTAGCAGATTCAAGTACAGAGTCAAATGAGGAAATTACATACCATGATGAAACATTCCAAGAATTTTGATCAGTGTTCAGGATCTACGTTGCAACTAAAACTTGTTTAACATTATTGAAGTCACTTAAGTTAATATTAAAATTGTTACAATTGACAGTTATCCAACTTACTTTTGGATTTACTTAATAATGTTATATTTATATTGTATATTATGAAATACGTATTAATCCAATTGTTTTAACATTATTTGATTATCTTAAAATTAATGGTGCTTGAAACTAACCATGCAGGTGTCTGTTTTGTCCAATCAGTGTGTTAGTAGCTATATAGTTTATGGATAATAGTAACACAACTTTAAGTTTTTCAAGTACTAACCAATTCCAGTCTGGTATCATGGGTTTTTACAGGGGCAAAATGATAACATTAAGTTTTGAAAAATTATGTGTGATCTCCAAGAAAAAAATTATAACTGAAATGTTGAAATTTTAAAATTTATTATGATGCAAGTTTTATTAACATTTGTTTTCAATAAAATATTTTTGGTAAAACTTGTGATATCCGACGAAAAAACAGAGGCATTTCTTGGTTTTATGTATTTTCAAAAGAACGCAACAATATGGGTTTAAAATACCGTGTAAAATACATTTTATCCATATTGTATTTCCATTGTTTACCTTATTAATGGTTTATGAGGGCTTTTACTTAAATGATATATAAAATTTTTAAACTTTTGTGCAATCTATATAATAAGTACTGCTTTTTTTAATTTACAAGTCTTTTGTTATATCAATTAAGATTTTGACATAATTAAATTTTTTTTTGCTTTCCTTCAGTTTATGAACGTAGCACATGATATATGTAAGGTTCTAAGGGAAGCAGGATATTGGGCTGATATCATAGATCCATCATCTGGAAAATTTGTAAGTTTCCATTTTCTGTCATGCTGTTTTATTATATTTATGTATTTTTGCACAAAGAATTTCTTTGTGGAAAAATCATATTGATAATTTTTTCATATAATACATATGTGCATATGTAATTTGTGATAATAATAGCATACTTCTGTAATTGTGTATTTATTGTTTTTGTGTTGTGCAATTTGCATAACTGGAGACGATGTTATTGTAATAAACATTTAGAGGCTTTTGGTGCAGGTTGTGAAAGTTATATAGTTAGCAGGTATGAAGAGTCAGTTTTGTGTTATTTTGAACATTATAGTGTAAGATAGTCACCCAATGCCAATTTTATACCCCTGCCTTTGGATGTTAGATGCAATGTACTTATTCTAAATTTTGTTTTTTCTTATATAATGTTTGTCCTTATGCTATTACCACTCTTGTTTAAGTGAAACTAAATTTTTCAGGATTTATTTTTTGCTTTGTCAGCTCTTATAGATAGATCCCTCTTATTCAATCTAAACATGTCACTTCAAGAATTTTTCTATATATTTTTTATATTGATTGACACAACAAAACATGAAGTGAAACATAGTACAAGGGACTTGTATTTTCAGTGTTGTCAGAACTTTTTATATATATATAGGTGTGGGTGTTAAGCATTCTTCTACAGTAGGTGTCTGGGACTTGTTGATGATAAATTTGAACAATAAATGGCTAGCACACTCTCCACTTCAAAACAAGATATATGTAGGTACAATCATGAAATATTAACTCGCAAAATAAATAAATTAATAATACCTACACTAAACAGTTTTGTATATCCAACAAATGTTTTAGCTCTCATCTTATTTCTGCCATTCAGTAAATTAAACATAGAAGTTTAGGATTTTGTTTGTAATATGTATGCCCTTTCACACGATGCTTGAGGTTTTTGTCTATTTTGTTTTAGTATCATGGCCCTTGCACCAATGCTACTCTTTTTGAAACGAATGAACGATATCGTCACTTTGGCTTTACAATTGAAGACTTGGGTTGCTGTAAGATGATCTCTCATCATATATGGGGTACACATGCTTTTGTCGGTTGTCTCTTCACAAATGCTCCACTTAAAAGTCCCGAAATTGAGGATATACTACAGAAACAAGAGAAATTAGATAGCAGTAACTAGTTTGAAAAAGTTTTTTTTAAGTGGTACTTGTTCATCCATATCTCAGCAAAGTAAGATTTTTTTGCTAATATGCTGTTTTCTTTAATTGTAAATTGTTTGGAGCTAAGTATTAGTTCATTTATATCACGAATATATTAACAGCTTTTAGGTATAACCAATTTTAAAAACTTTTATTAGTATGAAAGCTATATGCTTGGAAATAGCTGCATAACAGAGTAATATAGTATTTATCATTGTACTTGAATTATGTTTATTCAAGTTATTACACTTTTCATTAGAAATTGTGCTGGAAATTTGTCCTTTTTAGAAATCGTTAAGCTGGTATAAAAATGTATACTTCATAACTGTAGTGTGTCAAGTTTTTGTGCTTGTTAAACGTTTCTTTTTAAACTCTGTAACAGTTTCTACTTGTGACTAGAATAAAGATTTTTTTTATTTCACAGTTAAACTTGCATAAACACAGTCAAAGTAAACATGTATAATACCATTGTTACTGTGCTAACTATTTATTTTATTTAAGTTATAGTTACAAACAGTGTTTCCATATGTAGTATAAGCTTGTGTTTTTTTTTAACAAACATTTTTAAAAGAACATTGTTTGTTACACAGTTATAGATTTAAGAAAAGCAGCTTACTTTATCCAAAATTGGTGAAACTGCACATCTATTGGTGACTATTAAAGATATTTTAATAAATTCTCAAATAATAATCTATCTTGATCTTTATTTTCTGAGCACAATTGAATAAAACAAATTAACTTCTTCTTCTTCTTTGGAAATGTTTTATTATAACCATGTACTTCTGATCAATGTGATATCATGTGGTATGATAATGCAACATCTAACATCATGTGGTCTATTATGTAGGAATAAAATTCTCTCATAATTCATGAAAATGAAGAGGCTTTTTGAAACTAAAACTTAAATTTAAAGTGACATTATTTTCATGTAACGTAAATAGTTAAGAATAAACAGCAATGTTATAGTATACTTTGAAAACAAAGAATGAAAATACTAAAAAAAAATGTATCTTTTGTAAGTTTAAAACTAAGTACAATAAAATATTGTTTTAGCATAAAGAGTATGATTCCAGAATATAGAACCAAGGCTTACACATTACTCAACATCAAACTGTTAGTCATATAGTAGCCTTGTAAACATAAACTGCCAAATTTCACTATCAGAAAAGTATTCCATTAATATCTTATTCTGTCACTGACTTTGCTGGGATAAAAACAACTTATATTGCTTGAAAATGTAGTCTTCAAATAGTTATGATATGGTAAGTGTGGTTTAAAGTGTTTTGTATTGCAGTATTAAAAACACAGTAATGCATATGATTGTTAAATATTTAGATTTAAAACCCATTTTTTCATAATGACATATTATAATGAGGAGTGTTTAAGCAAAATAAATTTTGCCAAGTACACCTCTTCACTCAGTTGTAAGCCTTTTAGTGCTAGCAAATTTTTTTAATGTATACTGAGTATATAATTTTTTTGAAAAAATAATTTGTATTAATCGCAGTGCAAGGTGGTTTAAGTTTTGGTATTGTTTTCTGTGTTGGCAGTGGGTGAACCGTTCAGCAATGAAATACTATTTTATACATTTGTTTGCCATGTCTTTCAAGGATTATACTGTTCTAGTCAACTAGCATTAATGCTGGGCAATTATTAGAATTTGGTATTTTATTAATTGTCATGCTCATTAATTGATTATTTTGAACTAATTAATTATTGTCACACAAGACTTGGATAGTTAGAATAATTGAAAATAGTGATAACTAAAAACACTCACCTCAATTAGTCAATTATTTTTGCGAGTCATGATCCAGTAAGTATATAAATATATCTTAAAATTCTATTTGCTTTACTACTACCAAAATGGCACTGCCTCATAAGATTGATTGACTAATCCACCACAGTGTCAAGATCCTTTTCTTTAATTATGCTACTGAGTGGCTCCTACCTATATTAAATGTGTGATCCAAATTATTATAACCGAAATTCATTACCTTGTAGTTACTATAATTAAAGGTAATTTGCCAAACATTTGTACAACTTATCATTTAAAGTTACCAAATGATCTAGGTATTTCTGTAATACATAAACATCCTCAATACAGCTAGAAAGACCCTAGAATTTAATGTCCTCAGCAAAATTTACTAATTATGCCCCAATCAATGCCATCAATGTAAATAAATAAAAACAAAGGATCAAGTATTGACCTCTGAGGCACTTTACTAGAAACAATGCTCCAGTTCGTCTAGACTCCATTAATAACAATCTTTTACTTTTCTCATCCAATAACTCTACGATCTAAGTAATGAGATTAATTATTGTGATTTTTTAGCTATGAATGTGGAACCTTATTAAATGCTTTTTTAAAAACCTATGTACCAGAGCTGGGCAATTAATGGAATTTGCTAAATGATTAATTACTGGGCTCATTAATCGATTAAATATATCTGATCGATTATTCTTAGATGAAACTTGTATAGTTGGGATAATTTAATGTGGTAATAATTATGAACTATTTTCAATTAGTTGTTAATTTTCCTGAGTTTTGATAATAATTAATTAAGCTTAGCTGCCTTGACTTAATCAACAATAATTAGAAAATGTAATGACAATATGTTGATTACTTGGATAGTTGGAATAATTGAAAACACTAATTTTGATTAATTGATTATTTTACATGACATTAATTGATGCTCATGGGTAATCTACTAATTGGGTTAATCCACATTGTTGTAGTTTTTGTCTAATTAGGAATATTAGTGAAAATACTAATTTTCATTAGTTGTTTATTTTCGTGGCTTTAATCGATTTAATCATAATTTTGATTGATTGGTTATTTTATGTGATACTAATCGATGCTTATAGGTAATCAATTAATTGAGTTAATCACCCAGCTGTAATTGAGATTGTTGTGGTTTCGTCTAATTTGAAATTTCAGTGAATACTGAATTATTGCAAATAAATTTAATTATGTTTTTAAGCATAAGAAAAGTTATGATAATTTTGTATAAAACAGAACCAAATAATGAATGATTTAAGTGTGTAGATGAAAGAGTTCTTAACTTAACTGTGGTCGAAATATATTGTTAAAAATACATACAAATAATTGATTACATCTTATACTAACTAATTTTGATTGGCTTTCTGTTTTTTATGGTATACCAATATTTAATTTCTTAAATTTTCAACTGAATATATTACTAATGTTGTCATGCATTTGACGTTTATTTTTTTAAATCTGTAATTTTTATATTCAAGTAAACTAGTAACCCTGTTTTCCATCATGTATTCTTTTTGGTTGTTGTCATTCATTTACAAGTTGGAGCATCTAAGTTGAGGAACTGAAAAATATTAACTGACCATTGTATTAATATCCATGTTTACTCTAAGTGATTAATGTGGTCTGGCAACAGTAGAATAGAACAGTGAAAACTTAGTTAACGATTTATTTTACGTATTGCATTCGTAACTCACTTTATAATTTATTTTTTCTGATAATTGTTAAAACTACACTGAATTTAACAGTTACTTGTTCAACAGTTAAGAATATAAAAATGCCCAATTAAATATCACTCTTTGGTTATATTATGGATACTTTATTTTGGTGTATGTCCATTATTAAAAATCGAAAAAATGTGAGGAAATTCAGTGTTGACGTCTTTCAAGTGCTTTAATTTACAGCAACTTTTATAGCGCCATCTGATAAATACAAATAAAATTGCAATTTTTTTAAATTATGACTTTTCTAAGTGAAAGTTAACCCTTTGAAAAAAATGTTTTATTGGATTTATCATGTTTTACTACATAATGTATTATTTCAAAAGTAGTTTCATTAAATATGTAATAAACTTGTATACTATCTTTTCAAGCAATCTAAAGTTTTTATTTGGTTTAACAGGACACCCTGTTAGCTCAGCAATATGTGGGCTTATAACGCTAAAACTCTGACTTCAGTACCTGCTGTAAGTAGAGAAAAGCTAGCCCATTGTGCTAAACAACAAACAAAAATTGTGTCAAGTGCAATGCACACTCAAAGAATGATTTTATTTTTCAGCGGAATGTTACATCCTTGATTGACAGTGGTCTTCCCCCCCTGTTGCTTTATTCGAGGATGATAACTTTAAGTAGCAACAGTAATGACGTCTAATTTGAATTTTGATACGGCACTGTCTGTCTTGATCTATACATGGTAAAGACTAAGTTGTAAAAGTACCCGTTATTGTGGAGTTTAAAACCCATATAATGTTCTAGAATCTGCTTAAATATTGGATTCATAAGCTGATATACTGTTTTATTCAGAAAGATCCTGATTTTTTTGTGATCTTGTTTTCCTAAAGACTCATTTCCATCAGCCGTTTATCTAGATTTTAAATCAGATGCTAAAAAAAAAGTACTTAATTTTAAAAAATGACATAAAGTTGTACAAATTTTTAATGGATTCTTCTTAGCACACTGTAAGTCTGAAGACTTATAATGCCAAAAACCAGTTTTCGATAGTTGTTGGCACATCACAGGTAGCCCATTGTTTAGTTTGTGCTTAACAAACAAACACAATATTGTGCATGAATGCTGGAATTTTGCTCCTTTTTTGTGTATGTAGATAATTTAGTGACTTAAATGAATTCAGAATAAGATGTTGTACTAATTTTCGTATTTTTAGCCTATAGACCACTGAGAGCTAACACGTAAAATTGTGTAATTTTAATTTTGGACTACTAAGAATGTATTTAATACCTTATATGTATGCGTTTATCTAAAAATCTACACTAATAAATCATCTTATTCTAAAAGGGAAATAAACGCAAGAAAGCTACTGAAGTTTCCTTTTTTTTCTTGACTTTGATGTTCCCAGGTGGCAGTGACGTAACTGTAGATGACCCTCAGAGTTTTTTGATGAGGAACATAGGTTTTTTTAAGGAGTTGGAAAACAATTTTTTGGATTAAAAAGATTAGCGTAGCATAATAATTCTTCATCACTCTGGTATCGTATTTGAGTTTTATGTAAACGGAATTGAAAAAGATTGCTTGTTTACTTGTCTGTAAAGAATAGTATAAGCGCAACCTGTCGACATTTGTCTTCGTATTAAACGAAGAAATGTAAGAACTTTTCAAAAAATCGTTGTTTTATTTGATAAAATAAGTTATCTCTATAACCAGAACAGACGGTTAAGCTGTATTATAAAATTCGTGAATAAGCAAATATTACTTGGTGTTTCCATGTTTTGTTGACGAACTTTCAAACTGTGGTGTAATGATATCTTGTAAGTAACGTGGTGTGGGGAATATAGTATTTGATTAACAGCTGACATACATTAAGTTTATGTAAGCGATAACAACAACAAAAGGCTATACTTTTAATGACACAGCTTTTAAACTTGTCACCAGATTGGTTCCTTTAGATTGATTATTAATTAGGTCGCTACGTATTAACATTCAAATTAACATCTTATTTTTATGCCATTCATTCATTAGGGGTGGGGTCTACATATTGAGATTTTCGTGTCTTTACCTGTTGCATTATCCAATGTAAAGAACTGACAAAAAATGTTCCAGAAGCCATTTGTTTTCTGTGTAAGGATACATAGGAGGCCGCAGCAGTAATCAGTTTGATTAATTGTAACATTGGTTGTATTTTTATTTACACTTTATATGTGACTCGTATGTTATTATTGACTCTCTAACCAACAAGTTCGTGGATCCACAAGTAATTTGATACATAAATAGTTCAGAAAATGTGTTTAATAAGCATTTGGAGGAAGAATCCCATCGGTAATTCTAGGGTTAAGAGACACCAAAACAACACGTGATAATTACTTCTTGCTAGATGATGGCAGTTGTTGTTTTTAAGCAAACTTTCACGTTTAAAACTTTATTATGTTACCTAATAAAGTGTATCTAGGAATTTAGATATTTTTTCCATTGTCTTATTAAATTAGTTACGTTAGGACCATACACCACCGGGATCTGGGTGTCTTCTACCACAAATCCGCCACTTTGGTCTTCGTTGAAATCTCCACACTGGAAAGAAGGTGGTTGTGATGCCGCATATTGATGTACAAAGGCAACATTTTTCGCCACCCACTTCACCGGAGTAAGAATCTTTCTTTTTCCGACAGCGTTTATGCCTGCCCACTCCACAGCTTCGGTCCTGCCCATGTACTGGGCCCCTCGATAACCATCAGATATTTGTCGTCTGTAGACCTTTTGTTGCGACAACAAGGGGAACGGAAGCTCTTGGACAGTCTTGCTTGGGTAGTTTGTACAAAACAAAGCATTGGCAAATCGAAAATCAGCAAAATAATCATCAACTGCTCGAGAGAGATCTACGATCATATTTCTGAGAGAAGAGTTAGTCCGAGGAACTACAAACTGGTCCACTCCCACTACCAAAGTGTAATCTTGTTTGTACATATTCCTGTAAAAACAGTCCTGGGCACTAGTAACGAAGTTGTCAGGATAAATACCCCAGGCTAACCTGATTTCTTTCCAATTTACATTCCATGGCAGAAGCTGTACGTGTACACCTTCGTGTGATAGGTCGTAAATTATTCGTTTGACAGCGGTTGGTGCGCCGTCATCGTAAAATGTAAACTTTGAAACTCCTAAGACTTTATAATAAGCAATGAAATCGGCAATTTGCCAAGCAACATTCGGTATCTTAGATAAATCTGATGATAGAGGTTTTGCACATAACCCTATAGTAGGTTTGTCCAATGTCTGAGTAACAGATGCTCGAAAATGATGCACCTTGATCCACATATGTTGCTGGGATTCTCCTGACTTATTTGTTCTCAGAGCGACATCTGATGGACTTTCATTCCCTCCTAGTGGATCCTTGCATTTGAATTCATAACCAAGCTCACTCCAGTTTTCTTTAGTTAGTTTAGCATATGTGGCATTGACTATCCGTACAACAATGTTACCGAGTTCATTCCGGCCATACCTCATCAGGCACTTTGCTGTCAATAACTCCGGAACGAGTTCATCTGGCCAGCCAGATTTTCGTATACTGGATGCAAAAATACGGACAACAGGTGCATCCTGCACCCAGTTTCGGTTATCCCAGTAGGCCGAGTAAACTAGTAACTGATTTGAAATTTGCTGCCACATGTCAAGCCAACCATCATGCTCCCTCAAAATGTAAGATGACTGACTTTCGTTCCATTTTGAAGTCTTCCAGTTAGGTTCGGTTAATGAGAAATCGGTTACATACCACGGATCTGGTTGTGTGTTCTTCTCTATCTGCTGAAAAAACATTTGTAGAAGGGGTTGATTAATCACTTCTATCGACCGCTTGGACTGTAATAATTTTGTGTAAGGTAACAGGTGTGACCCTAAGTCTGTGGTATGTAGTAATATCACAATACCTCCCACCAGTAGGACTGCACTTCTTTGTCGCCAGATCATTCTAAACATGGCCATTTAGATAGTCAGCTTTCTCTTGACTTAGGAATTCACTGTAACAAATATCATTCTTTAAAATTGTGTATTTTTAGTTAAATTTAATTATAGTATTACAGTAATAATAATGAAATCTTAATTGACCAGTTCTGTTTTTCTACTTAATCGGAAAATAAGATATCAATACTACCTAATTAATGTGTTTTGGCACTTGTGTATAAAGTTAAAATCATAAATAATACTCAACGTTAAAATTGGTACACAATTAAAAACATTTTATTTGGGCCTATCTGTGGCGTTCAAAAAATTGACGACTTTACATGTTTCGACGTTGCAACGTCCTCCTCAGGAATGAATTACAAGACAATGCTAAAGTATTTATAACTTTTTAGTAGGCAGTGCCGGATTTAGGCATAAGTTAAACAAGCTACAGCTTAGGGTCTCACAATTTTTTTTTTTTTATTTTTTTTGCTTTTAAAATTTTATCTATGAGAGAGATCAAGCCAGCCAAATGATAAATATGTAATTTTTAACTTTAAATACCTTACTATTAAATATTAAAAGGCATATATATGTTTTATTATTATTATTTTTTTTTTGTGGCGATCCAAGGTCCTGTTTTGGTACGCACCTTTGTGAGACCTTCTGGTGTAACTTTTTAACAAGGGGCCTCCAAGCTTTATATAGCTTAGGGCCTCACCAAGTCTAAATCCGGCATTGTTAGTAGGTCGTGTGACCTGTATTCTATTTTACATATATTCACGCTAAACCATTCAAAGGAGATCAATCCACATTCTTGCGGAAATATTCGCCATACCTTCATCTCTATTTAATACTACATGATCTTTTTTGTTTTATTATTTCTAAGGATTTACGAATATTATTAGCTTTTATACTTTTTGGTTAAGATAATATTACAGTTTTTTTCCCCATAATATTGTGTGTTGTGTTTCCTGTACATGTTTTGCTATGGGTGAATTTCTAGTTTTTTTATTTCTTACATATCCCTTATGCTCATTTAAACTTAGGTATAAACTTCGATTCCTAAATTTAAATTTAGGCCTATCTGAGGATGACGTTGCAACGTCGAAACATGTAGAGTCGTCAACTTTTTAAAGTCCATAGATAGGCCTAAATAAAATGTTTTTAATTGTGTACCAGTTTTAACGTTGAATATTATTTATGATTTTATCAATACTACTTAGTTACTTGTAAAGTGCTACACTCAAAAATTAGACATAGATACAGCTTTTTTTTTAGTAAAAAGTAATATAAGATTATAATCATTATAACTAGGTTTTAGAATTTTACTATCAAGGACCTAAACTTGGCCTAAGACATCATGAAGGGACACAAGTAGTTGTAAACAACCATGAATACCCAGGAAGGCTGAAAACGAAAAATAATTAATTTCTTTGATGATGGTGAAGATAAGTTGCATACAATATGCAATTATAATTACGTGGAAACCCGAAAAGGAACATTTTACTTTACAAGAAAGCTACAGGTAGGCTGGACGGCATGAGCTGCGATATATTATTAAGTGCCCTGCGCACTTTCAGCTCTAGGGACTTTATAACTATAACGGCTAATTATGCTATTTGGTTAAAGATGATAAGCTACTGCTGACTGATTGCCCGCCCTCTAGCCACTAATTCTAAATTACGGATGCCTGTGCTTGATTAAATCATAGGGGTTTCAAATCTCGCCGTTTAGGGCATGTGTGGTATAAGGTATTGTTCAGGTTGACTTGTTTGTTTGTTTGAAGTTAAGCACAAACCTACACAATAGGCTAACTGTGCTCTGCCTACCACGGGTATCGAAACCCGGTTTCTAGAGTTGTAAGTCCATAGACATACCACTGTGCTACTGGGGGCAGTTCAGGTTGGAAAATACCTTACGAGGTGTTCTATTTTTGACTGGGAAAATAAGTTTCGGCCATAGGCCTACAGTCAATAACGTAACACTATTATTATTTTTTCTCAGGTTGAAAAACGGCATTTGTATGGCATAACCCATCTTAAAACTATCAGCTGTGGTCTCAAAGATTCTCTTAATCTTGTTGACTTGAAGTAAGGTCAATTACAACAATAAGTTTGGATTTGTGGAAGTAAATTAATTATGTCATGATGTTTAGATTCATTTTGTTTGAGACCTTATCACGATATCAGATCAATATTACGTTTTGAGAAATAAAATAGATAATTAATTATTCAAGCTCGCTGATAATAAGTGTCGTATATATTTTATGCGAAAGGTTAATGAAACTAATAAAAGCACATATCTCATTAAAAACTTGGTTTATTAAAAATTTAGCAATGTTTATGACACATACCCTTCTTCAGGCCTAGCTAGTCAGTAGAAATACACAATATACAGTATAAAATTACAGATACAACATGCGGTTTTCATCAGTTTCAATAACCGGTGCTACTTTCCTATTCATGGCCATGCCCGTTTTATGTTATCAAGTTGTATGTATGTGTGTGTGTTGCCCTATTCTTGGGTGTTTGTGGGTCTATAGTAGAAGTAGTAAGTGTGGTAATAAGGGTAGTAGTTCTTGTGCTGCTGTTTTTGTGATTATTGTGAATACATCGTCTTCGTTTTGAGGGCTGTTATATTTTTCCACGATTATTTTGAATATGTTTTTGATTGTCTCTACTACTTTGTTTATGAATTCCTGTGTTTTAGGAGGTGTAGCTATAGGTGTCTTCATTTGTTCTGTTGTTTCTTTAGTCTTGTGCTTGTGTGTGTGTTGTTTTGTATATTGTTTATTCTTGTTTTAATAATTTTATATTTCTGGCATCCTTTGTAGTTTGCAGTGTGTTGTTGTTGGCAGTTGCAACAGTGTGGTTGTGGGTTACTTCGCGGGCATTCATTGTTTCTGTGATCTCCCCCACATCCTACGCAGCGTGGGAGAGCTTTACATGCGGCTGCCACATGTCCATACCGTTGGCAGTTGTAACACTGAGTTACTACTACCGCAGATATTTTGGTTGGTTCTACCATGTATTTTCTGTACCACAGTATAATCCCATTTGATATTAGGTTCTGTGTGTCTTGTGTTTCTTGCACTTGAACTTTTATGAGGTTTGTGAGTTTCTGTGTTTTATTTGAGAAAATCCGCTCTATTGTTGTTACTAATATCTTTTTCTGTGTGAGTTCTGTTTCGATTTCTTCGTTAGTAATGCTAGTGTGTATGTCCTTAATGACGAATGACTTAGGGTTGGGCTTGTTTCCTGGTAAGTGTATTGTTATCTTGCTGGGTTCAAACGCGTCTTGGGACCATGTTTTTAGTAGTCGGTTCAGGTCAGCGGCCTTTGATCCTTTGACCAGGACGCCGCCCTTGGCTAGACGGTTTATTATTGTAATGTGTACTTCCGGCTTACATCGCTTGATGAAATCAAGCCGCAAGTTGTGGTTCCCTGTACTGTGCTGGGATACCTTGGATTATAATTGCGTTTGGTGGTGTGTTTTTGTGTGTTGCATTTGTATGATTGTTTGTGTTTTGTGCTGTTTGTTTTCTTGTTTTCTTCGATTTTACTAGTATGAAATTGTTTGGGTCCTCTGGTGTTTCTTGTGTTTGTTTGAGATTTTCTTCATGTACTTCTTTTTGTGTCCCTTGTTGGTCGTGTGAGTTTCCATGTGCTTCTTTGTGTGATGATGGTAAGTGTCGAATTATAGCCAATAATGCATGACTGAGACTTTTATAGATACTGCAGATAGAGTAGCCATCCTTGAAGCTAACTATAAGTAGTGGCAAGAATCGTGCAAGCAGGAGATGGCGATTCTAGGCGAAAGTGAGGCAGAAATTTTGTAACTATATATTTTATTTCGAAAATATTTAGTTTCAGATAAAGTATGCAGCAGTATATATATATATATACATAAATATAAATACTAGCCGACATGCATTGCATGTGCATGAATGTATGAAACTCATGCGGGTGGTAACAAAATCCAGTCCATGCACCATTCCAGTATAGTTCATTCGTCCCTCCAATCCACTATTTACACTCTTCACATATCTTGTTTGTTTTTGGAATTTCGCGCAAAGCTACACGAGGGCTATCTGCGCT